GTACGATTGGTGGATTCCCTCTCTGAAGTGGAATACATAAGCTCCTGTGATGACAAACATCTGCTCTGCCGGAGTGCCCTAGAGCAGGACACTTTCATGCCTACTTGCCTCAGGACTTCTGCTGCAGAGCTTGTGGTGTAGTTTGAAGAAAGAAGGGTTCCTTTCAAAAATGAGAATGACAAAATAAGAAATGCGTTTGTTTTTTGATATTTATTTATATATTTCAAAAACGTATTTCTTTTTGCATTGATGAAAAAGATTTATAATACGACAGTGGGTCAAGGAGCCACATGAGGCGCGAAGGTTGATCTGCATATACTTTCATATAAACTAAGCCACATTGTTGTAATGCAGTAAAGTTTAAAGCTGCATGAATCAAACATTTTATATTAACATCAGATCAATAACTGTGTGTAGTATGAAAGGTTTCCTTTGTAGTGACAAACACAAAGAATTATCACATGACTGCCATCACCCGGAGCTCTATGGGGGGGACTTTAGCGTCTTTCAGTTAATTGTTTTGGTTTTCCGACCAGCAACTATCTATCGCATCTATTGCAGGGCTGCCATGCCATATCAATTTTATAAAATGATAATATGCATTGTGTTTACAGATTGTGGTGATGCCCCCAATTGGTCAGATTATCAATGAATGTCGTTTTAAATTACCATAATGGTCATGTTTTCACTAAGTGAAGCACTAATCCAATAAACCGGACTGGTATCGATGCCGATATTGACCTTACTAAAAAGATAATTTATCAGCCAGATATGACCCTTCCAGTTCACATTAAGTGACATTTTCTACTCAGTGGTCATAAGATAACAATGCTAATAAAATGTTTGTGATCCTAAAAAGAATGCAGGTGTAATACGCTGGTAAACTTGTGTGGGCATCAACAGAGTCCTGTTTGTCATGGTTGTTCGAGTGGTTGGACATTAGCAATTGTTATGCCCCCGGTGGTGAAGCTCCTCACTGGTCTGTGAAAAGCAGCGGTTTGGCGACTACCTGTGTATTGCATCAAGCATTCGCGATGCATGGTCTGCAATAGTGTGTACACTCCCAAGGCTAACATGGGGAGTTGGCAGTGACATGGGGTTTGTCCAGTCCACATTGGGGCAAAAGGGAGAGGAATGCAGACAAACTGGCCTGTTTAGGTATAAGATTAGACATGTTATGTATAGACATACGGTTAGAGGTGGTTAAGTTTAAGCTTCTTTAAATCTAAGTCGGGTTTAGTGTGGTTAAGGTCAAACTAAGGACATAGGGGAATAACTCCCAACAGTTAGGCTACTCCCCTTCATTCATCTATATTACCACATGATTATGATGCAAGTTTCACAAACAAGAATGTTCATATTGGTGAATTACATACCTCTGTGCTGCTCAAACATTTTCATACAGAAATTAAATGAAGGGAAACATATGGCCAACTGTAAGGAAGGACGTCAACATCAAAGCTGATGTATGCTTGGGAAAATGGTGAGTGGCAACATGGACTAAAACGTGTCCATTAAATCACATTAGTTGGATCTCTTGGGTCTCGGGGGACGGCTATGAACCTGACGTTCTCTTACACTGCGAGATGAAAACACCATAACAGCCCAGCCACTTTCTCACACAGCACTCATCCGCAGTCTCACTTTACCATCAAAAACTTCCTGCCAGGTCTCCACAGTAAGTCTACACGAAAACAAGGAAAGAAGCATCAGTATAGTATCACTGAGACTCCCTTCACAGCCTACAGCCTCGCAGGAGTTAGTGTATCATTACAGCACAGTGACGCAGGTCTCAGTCACTCATTTATCACCGTTTCACAATATGTTAGCACCAGTGCAAACGTTTCACCTGTGGCCTGTAACTCAACGGTAAGCCTCAGTGTTCGAGCCCCTTGTGTTATACGCCACCGACTATACTCCTGTTGGGAGCTATAGAGGCAGACAAAGAGGCTCCTTATCGAGCCGGACTACTGGGCCTCTGCTCGTGCTGGCAGGCTGCAGCACAGAGACAGAGACTACGATCGATCGTGGGTACGGAAAGTATTCAGACCCCTTTAAATTTTTCACTGTTTCATTGCAGCCATTTGCTAAAATCAAAAAAATTCATTTTATTTCTCATTAATGTACACTCGGCACCCCATCTTGACAGAACAAATGTAGAAATTTTTGCAAATTTATTAAAAAAGAAAAACTGAAATATCACATGGTCATAAGTATTCAGACCCTTTGCTCAGTATTGAGTAGAAGCACCCTTTTGAGCTAGTACAGCCATGAGTCTTCTTGGGAATGATGCAACAAGTTTTTCACACCTGGATTTGGGGATCCTCTGCCATTCTTCCTTGCAGATCCTCTCCAGTTCCGTCAGGTTGGATGGTGAACGTTGGTGGACGGCCATTTTCAGGTCTCTCCAGAGATGCTCAATTGGGTTTAGGTCAGGGCTCTGGCTGGGCCAGTCAAGAATGGTCACAGAGTTGTTCCGAAGCCACTCCTTTGTTATTTTAGCTGTGTGCTTAGGGTCATTGTCTTGTTGGAAGGTGAACCTTCGGCCCAGTCTGAGGTCTAGAGCACTCTGGAAGAGGTTTTCTTCCAGGATATCTCTGTACTTGGCCGCATTCATCTTTCCTTCAATTGCAACCAGTCGTCCTGTCCCTGCAGCTGAAAAACACCCCCATAGCATGATGCTGCCACCACCATGTTTCACTGTTGGGATTGTATTGGGCAGGTGATGAGCAGTGCCTGGTTTTCTCCACACATACCGCTTAGAATTAACGCCAAAAAGTTCAATCTTGGTCTCGTCAGACTAGAGAATCTTATTTGTCATAGTCTGGGAGTCCTTCATGTGTTTTTTGGCAAACTCTATGCGGGCTTTCATATGTCTTGCACTGAGGAGAGGCTTCCGTCGGGCCACTCTGCCATAAAGCCCCGACTGGTGGAGGGCTGCAGTGATAGTTGACTTTGTTGAACTTTCTCCCATCTCCCTACTGCATCTCTGGAGCTCAGCCACAGTGATCTTTGGGTTGTTCTTTACCTCTCTCACCAAGGCTCTTCTTCCACGATTGCTCAGTTTGGCTGGACGGCCAGGTCTAGGAAGAGTTCTGGTCGTCCCAAACTTCTTCCATTTAAGGATTATGGAGGCCACTGTGCTCTTAGGAACCTTGAGTGCTGCAGAAATTCTTTTGTAACCTTGGCCAGATCTGTGCCTTGCCACAATTCTGTCTCTGAGCTCCTTGGGCAGTTCCTTCGACCTCATGATTCTCATTTGCTCTGACATGCACTGTGAGCTGTAAGGTCTTATATAGACAGGTGTGTGCCTTTCCTAATCAAGTCCAATCAGTTTAATTAAACACAGCTGGACTCCAATGAAGGAGTAGAACCATCTCAAGGAGGATCAGAAGAAATGGACAGCATGCGAGTTAAATATGAGTGTCACAGCAAAGGGTCTGAATACTTATGACCATGTGATATTTCAGTTTTTCTTTTTTAATAAATTTGCAAACATTTCTACATTTGTTTTTTTCTGTCAAGATGGGGTGCCGAGTGTACATTAATGAGAAATAAAATGAACTTTTTTGATTTTAGCAAATGGCTGCAATGAAAAAGTGTGAAAAATTTAAAGGGGTCTGAATACTTTCAGATAGATAGATCGATCAGGATGGGCTTCCTCTCTCTCACTCTCCGCCCATCTGTCTCTGGTTTTCATAAAGGATCCTGATGGGATGAGTGAGTCAGGTTGGCACTGGTGCAATAAAGCCTTTCATTAAATCCTGAACTGCATCTTGTATTAATCGCCTCTTAAAAAAAATAAATAAATAAAAAAAATATAGCAATGGAATATAGAGCAACTGACAGAATATTATTTCTGTGTGATGAATTCATAAGTGTGTTGAACCAACCTATTAGTTTAGAGGAAACAATGGTTTGAGCACTCTACGCTTCAATGTTGATCTCTATTCTTATTTTGCTTTTCATATAAAACCTAATTAATCAGAATTAGACTAACACAGTCTGAGGTATAACAAGTGCTCTGCATACCCAGGTGACACATGGATGAAAGGCTTTTTTGTTTGTATCTCAGCCTTTTTAAGTTCTGTGAATTTCAAAGAATGGACTATAGCTTGGGTGAAACTTTAATGAGTTTATGCAGCAGCAGCAGAGAGGATATACAGTGGAAAAGAACAAATGGTGCTGGACATAATAAAACAAAGTGTTTACATATTTGAAAAATAATGCAATAGAAAGATAAAAAAAAAAAAAAAAAAAAAAACTATTCATCTTCAGGCAAATTAACTTAATCTGTATTTAGATCATCATGTGCGCTGATAGAGCATTTATACAGAATGATCCAGCATACTTTGACTTTTTGGAAGTGGAAAGATTGAAGAGTAGCTCAACTGTTTTGGCCTTCGTGTTTAGGAGGAAAATAAATGGATTACAAGATGGCATTAGGTTGATCTTTAATTACTGATAACCAATAAGAGAGTTATGATAAGCCAACTACACAGACCCCATACCCCAACCATATCCACAGGGCCATTGGCTGTGATCCAATTAGGTCTCGCTTTAGGTGCCGTTTTATAGTTTCCCAGCATAGTTTTTCAATATCCCTCTGAAAATAGCCATCCGTTGTTGCAGAGTCATCACAGCCCTGTTTGCACAGAATAACCTGAGTACAGGGTCGATACGGAGCAGGGATCAAACCAAAACAGTCTGGAGCAAAGATGGCTATAGATAGAAAGCTGTCTGTGAGGCGTTTGTTGTGTTTCCTGATTTGTCATCAGCACCATGGGCAGAGTACAGTGGCGTGTGAGAGACTAGAGATGCTACATCACTCCTCAGTCTACACTGTAATGAAGGCTTTTACGGTTCTGTCTGAATGCTGTTTCTCTCACACACACACACACACACACACACACACACACACACACACACACAC